TAAACAAACAAACATGCAAAACTGAGATGAGTCATTTGAAACAGAATCATGTTAACATCTACAATCAGCAGGGCTGAAACATTTTCAGGCTGACAGCTGCTACTTTAGCTAATGAAGTATTAAGAGCAGCAGCTGGGTGTTGTCTTTCATGTAGAGTGGGAAGTGGTATAAGATGTGCTTTGGCAGGGTATCTAACTGCTTGTTGCAGGTCAGAATTAGAAATCTTGGTTTAATGTAATTAATGTACTGTGGCTGCACTTCACATAATTTATTCAGACTTGATATGTTTTAACTTCTTTCTTTCCTAATTTTTGAGCCCAAATTTACTATTTCAACCCCAATATTCCATTCAACCTCCTTGGAAAATACTATTTCCACTTCTCAGGAACTACCTGCTGGGGCCAGTCTTTCTGTCTGGCTCATCCTCCCAACATGGCATATACTTCTTAGACGTAATACATCTAAACCCATGTTTAGGTGTGTTATACAGGTGACAGAGTTCAACTTGAACTCTTCTCTCTAGACAAAGAGATACGAGATTATCAGAGGATAATTAAGAAAATGTAAGAATACTTGTAGATCTTTGTACAAAGAATCTGCAGCAATTATATTTCTACATATAGAAGTATGACAAGTATCTATGATTAGGAGGGTCAAATTCTGGCTATAGGCCATATTTCCTCTATTGCTTTCTCAGTACACTGTTCTCTCCCTCATGCTTCTTTAATCAGAATGACTGAACAGAATGAATTGCAAAATACCTAACAGGATGAGCATCCTTTCTGTTCTGCCAGTTCAACAACCTGGCCTGAAGTGAGCTCTCAAAAGCAAGAAAAGTCCTTCTGTGTTTCTGTAGGCTTAGTTCCAAACCCAACTGTTTTACAAGAACAAATCTTCTTAGTTTAGGGAAAAATAGGCCTATAGAAAACAGTAGGCTTTTCTATAAGCTGAATAATGATGTTCACTTCTCTGGGATCAGTGCAAGACAGCAAACCTAATTAATGCAAGCTAGAACTACTGGCAGCAGGCTTTAGATTAAAAACTATGACCAAGACAGCACATTTTAGTAGATAAGGCTTCTAATGCAACACAAATAAAAAAATATTGAATATTAAAATTAATAAAACAAGAAAAAAAAAGGAAATCTTAAAAATTTAATTGAAAATCTGTGCTGAAATCACCTTAGCACATGTTCTGAGCATTATGAAAATCTAGTTGCCTAATTGCCCCATTTTTATCTGACTTAAAACTTGTAGGAGGCCCTATTTAAATACAAACATCAATTTTTATTATCTTTGTAAGTGACAAGAGCCTATGCAAAGCCATAGGAAGTAATAAATACACTATTGTATTACATTTTCCAATATGTATACACATATATCATCCAGGGATAGGCCCATGGCATGCCCTTCATGATTTTACTTCTAACTACTGTCATAAATATTCCTGCTGGGTGCTAACAGCAGAGAAAAGCGGAGCATGATTCATTGCATATTCCTAATCACATAGGAATTTCCAAATTACAGCGGATCCAATTAGTATCTTAAAACCTCTGATGTATTTACTGCAGATACTGTAATCTCTGCACAGCTTTAAACACCAGCTGTGTTCTGTCAGCAGGGAAGCCTGTTGGCTGCAGATTTCAAATGTACAATGATATTTTGAGGTGTAGTAAAATGTTGTGACCATTTTCTGATGTTTACTGCTAGTCTGTAGTTCTAAGACTTCAGTGGACAACAAGCAATGCTCTATTATTGTTCCAGTCTTGGAGGAAAATGATTTGGCTTCCTGATCAATGTGCTTTCTTGCAAAATATTAAGACTGTTTAAACAGGAAATGACAAAATCAAATCCTAGAAGTCCAAGCTCCTTGGGCAGAACCATCTAAAGCTGCAACCATAATGACATTACTGGCTCTGGGATTTATGACTTCTATTACACAAGCCAAAATGGTTTAACTTTTATAAATCTGTAAAAAGAATGTTGCCATGGCACACCTAAAACAAAGATTTGGCTGAAAATATGAGCCTTGTGTTAGCTTTATAGATCAAACTCTAAAAAGATAATCTATATATTGATAAAAATTAAGATTGCACGTGGAAATCACCTAGCCTCTAGCCACAGATCCTGCACACAAACAGTAGCAGGAGGACTCTCCTACCTGGTGTCAGCTGTTGCATTGTAACAGACAGTGCTTTCTAATATCACACAGGAAAAACATGCTTACCTAAAATTTGCTGCTGGTTTATGTGGAAAATAAGTGCACTCTAACTTATAGAAGGATGCATTAAACCAGGAACCAGGGGATAAAGATGTTCCACCTGATAATTTTTAGGCTTCAGCAGTAGTACTTTCTGCATAATTAACTCATGCAAGTCACCTCTGAAGGAAAATCTGCCAAACCCGTGTGTTTAATTAAAACATCTGTAGTTCCTATGCAACACTGCTTCAGGAAGTGGAATTTGAAATCACGGTTTTTGTTTTCCTGTGTACTGCAGCTGAATAAGAATGAATAGGCTTATACCAACATAAATAAATATGCACTTATGTATCTGTAGATGTGGTCACTAAAAAGACAGTAAGTCAGCTTGAGTGTCTAAGGCATGGCTACTGCGTTACTGAGAATGATTTTGTAGCAGTACAGGACAGAAATTTTAAAGTCGGACAGGACTTCATATTTACCTGGATTATTTTTAGTTCTTGGAGATATCTGTGATTTTAATATTGAAAAGAAAGAAACAATAACATTAAGACTTTTCTTTCTACATGGGAGAAATTAGGGTAATCTGTGATGATGAAACAAGCAGAGAATGTGCCTCTCATATTTTAGCAGACACCAAGAGGTGTGACAGCTGAGAACGTTTTTCAAATATTGACAGGCTTCTGTTGACACGAGAATATGCTGTCTTCTTTACCACCAGAAACAGGAGCCTCTTCTTTCCTTGATTAAGAAAAAATTTCATTATCTTCAAGATTGGAATTTTGCCATTGTGTTTATGGAGAACTGAAGTCTCGTTGGGCAATGTTACCATAATATATGTAGTGAAAAACAGAATAAATTTAGAAATGTATCACAGTATGAAAAATAACAAGAGAAAAATTGCCAACAGCTTTACAGATTTATGCTGATGTATGCATGAAGAATTTAATTGTTAAAATAATACTGCCGTAGAAACTGTAGCAGGCTTATTTGAATATCCATAAGGAAGTACATTTTTATTCATAGATTTGTGGTGTTAGTTGGTAAATTATAAAATAATTTTTTCACACCAAAAGGACGATGTGTTTGCCTTTAAAGTAAAAAAAAATATTTTAATGAAGAAATTACTGCTGCATTTGTCTAATTGTATTGAAGCGTACACAATGGGAAGAATACACGCAACAAGGCTGATTCTTTCACTGTGTCACTTTTGATCTGAATACCTGCATTAAAATCAATATCAATAAGCATACTTGACTTCAAGATCCCAGTACACCTTATTGTTTATATTCATTAAGTAAGGAAGAAATGAGGTAAATGAGGTAACCTTGAAACTACCTTTGAAATAATGAAAAAATCTGTCTGATCTTCACACTTAATCTCCCTGTAGTAGTTCACGAGCTTTTAGGGAAAATGTACATTTATTTCAAACTAAGAAAAAAAGGAAAAATATGAAAACTTTTTAGTCATGGCCACACTGCTTCCTTTGTGACATTCAAGGATGAAGTTCTGCCTGCAAAGTAGTTATATCTGTCTATAACTTCCACTTTCTGACTATACAGGTAGTGCAAATAATTCATCCATTCTTTAGATTATCAAGTTTTTCATTAGCATTTTAATTTTTTCCTGTTCTCTGTGGTAACTTTCTATTCTGTGATGCTTTGTCACTATTTCCATTATAAAGGCCCCATTTTTGATATGCCTCAGTTTTAAATATTTTTGCTTAGTTTAGAGAAAAGTCTTACTAACAGTGATCACATCACAGTCACCATGTGTTGCAACAGCTCCAATACTTAAATTTTGGTTTTCTAAGTGGCATGTGAAGTTACTTGTCAAATTCAGAGCTGACACAATGCCACTGAATTACACCTAGTATAAATATGGATAATTTGTTTCATCATTCAATATTAATATAGATACCCTTTAAAAATCTCAATATATCTTACCACTTTCTTTTGGGGCACAAATATGAGATGTCTACATTTTTGTATACTTGGCTCAAGATACGCTTATCCTCATTCTCCAGAGACATTGAAATGCGTAATTCCAGTAAAAATCCAAAAGACTTCCATCCATAAGTCTTAACCTGGATATTCCACAACTGCAGTGCTGAACATCTTACTATTTTTTGAAAATTTGGATCTAACTTTCAGGTTTTCGCTTGTGTTGCAAGTTTGTTTCAAGGGGATAGGCTTATTATATAAGCAGTGTAAGGAATAAGGAGTCAACCTGAAACAAGCGAAGTCTAATATAATAGAAACTCTGCACATGGGGAAGAAATAACTGCTCTCATATCAAATGTGCTCTTGCTCTTTGTCACACTAAACTGACGCAGAAAATATAATGGAAAAAGCTATCTAGGTCACTTAGGAGATATTTATTTGCCTACAGCTGTTATTTCGTTAGAATTCTGAAAACTCCAACTGAAGGTTACAAAGTTAGTCTATTGTGACAATTTGTTCTGAAGACAGAAAAAATACTTTAATAGTAATAGTTTACCCTAATTTAGCAGATTGGTTTCTCTCTCAAGAAACCCTTTGTTGTAGTGTTTTAGTTGAAACAAATAAGAGAATGAAGATGATGGTACATGAATGAAATGGCAGGAAAAAAACACCTATGTTTCCTTTGTTGCAGTATCAAAATGGAGGATCCACTAAATTATTGTTAGGTGACCATAGCTCCTCAGCCTCCGGATATCACTGAAGCAGAAAATCAAATATCTTAGCTGTATTTTGTTCTCAGTCCAGCACCTATATCTGTATCTGAGCATGGAATGTTTTCTCCATACTTTGTTTTGACAGGTTTCTGATCTGCACAACAATCTGAGAGAGGAGGATTTGTACATGTATTCTGGTGCTTACGAACTTAGAAGAAATCTTTCAAGATTGGAAGTTTTACAAAGATCTTAAAGGCCAACATTACTGGTACCTTCAAAGAGAAAAGCATTAATAAATCCTTAGATATATAGGTAGGTATTAGCATGAAAGATTTTGTCAATTCGACTATGAGAGGGTATGTAGTTTTCACTACCGTGGAAAGCAGAATTGCCCAGAAATTTCTGCTGGTTGCTTGGTTCTCTCAGTGTTTAAACACAACTGAAACACTAAAACAGAAGGTATTTATACAAAACGTAACAACTTTTAGTACAGGATATGAAGAAGCAAATAGGCATTTCTAGATAGACAAATAAACTTGTTCTTCTTAATAGGAAAATATTTCTTATTATTATTTTATTATATTTCCTATTATTCCTAATATTAATGCTATTTCATTGCAATGTCTCAGGTAAATGGTAGGAATGCCTCTCACTTTTAAAGTATAGATAGAACCCCATTCTGGACATTTTCTGCTCTATGATTTTTTCCCCTGTGCCTTTGTGGTATTGAAAATCATTACCAAAACAGATGTACTTTTCAAAAATATGAATTTTGCCTTTGGGACCTGTCCAAATAAGAACAAAGTAGAGTACCTATTTCTTACACTACTCCCTGGGAAGTATTAATGAAGAAAATAAAGCAAAAAACTCTGTGCCTTTAATACAAGAATTGCTTCAGGTGTGTTTCATTGCTTCTTAGATATTATTTAACCTAGAATTATAAATTCTGTTTATAACTGGGCAGCACATGGTATCACAGGACTATATAACAAGAGCACATCCCATAAGCTGTGTCTCTTTTAAACTGCACTAGTTTTTTTCAAAAACATTTGTATTGTAAATGTGCCACTGCCTTGTCAACTCAGAAAAGTTGTATCTTCAGTCAAACAGCATGTATTGTAGGGTTATTTGAATGTTACCCTAGCGTAAGAAATCCTGTTTGCACAGTACTTCCTTGGGTCTAGAGCAGCAACTTGATTTGTGTTGAAAACTACTTGAAAACAAAATTGTTTTGGATTTGAAAGTAATGTGACTAATTAGTGCCATTGAAAGTCACTAATAATATTTCAACTACCAATAATATTTATATATATAAATATATACAATATATATATTGTATATATATAAATATATACAATAATACTAATAATATTTAACTACCAATTTGGAATGTTTTAGCCTTTATTCTAATTTGGGATGTTTTAGCTTTTACTCGAATGTGACCTGTAAAATACAATCCGATATTACTGTAAGTTATAACAGCTTTAGATCATGGCAGGGCTATCTGGGAGAGGGACAGCAGCAGAAAGTGAATCAGAGTGGCTTTATGCTAGTATAAACACATGGTTTTGAAAAGAAGTAACTAATTGGTTAATCTTTAAAGTCTGCAAGTTGGTGTGTGTTACTGACTGAAAAAAAAAGAGCAGACAAATGCTGATTCTAGCTTATAGACCAATATCCTCTTTTCAATATATAATTTGAATAATATATTTATATATATTTATATATAAATAATATTATATATTATATATTATACATTATATATTATATATTATACATTATACATCATACATGATATATTATATATTATATATTATACATTATATATTATATAGTATATATTATATATTATATCATATATATTATATATTATATATTATATATTATATGTATATAATATATATTATATGTATATAATATATATATTATATTATATATATTATATTATAGAATTATAATATATAATATATACGATATAATATATAATATATACTATATAATATATAATGTATAATATATAATATATAATATATAATATATAATATATAATGTATAATGTAAAATGTATAATATATAATATATATAATATATATAATTTGCCTGGGGAAAGGAGTGCCCTGCAGAGGAGAGTGGTAGTGTAGTTAACATTAATGGATAAAATCCTAGTTTATGTGGGAGTTAGACTAATATACAGAGCTTTTAGTTCACAGAAAATGCATTCCCATTATAAGAAAACACTAAATATTTTCTTACAAAAATGTAACTAACTACTTTAAAATGTCTATGATAACGTTAGAGGAAATAGGAGGATTTCTTCCAAGTGTGATTTCAGGGAGGAAAATGAGATATTGAAATTACAGCACATTCTTAGTACTAGAAAAAACTGGACATTAAATAGTCATGAGTACACTTCATGAGAGCTGGGAACAGCTTTCCAGTAATGATTAGTGTAGTGGTGGAAAGCACTCGGTACTTCTAAGTGATATGTCATCACCTCATGAAAAACACTGCATGATGTAATTGCTTGTGAAAGCAGACCCTATGAACTTGGCAGTTCCCTCAAGCCCCAAGGTCATTTCTACTCACTTTTAACATTTGATCCTTTCTTTTAAGTAGACATAATCTTTTAGAGAAGGTATCATATATCACTCCATCAGATTGTGGACTAAGCAGAGGCAAAAGGAACAGAGTATTAGGTATTGCCTCAGGTTGTGTTAGACAGTGTGAAAATGCTCCATATTTTATTCATCGGCCATGTTTTGTCATGGTGTTTGTAGGAATGGATGAACAAGGTTTGCTATGATTAAACTTGATTTAATGTTTGGTTATGGTAATTCTCCTCTCCCACATTTGGGGAAGCAAAATACATTTTATTAACTTTATTAACATTTTATTAATGTGAATGTTGTTTCTACATAGAGGAATATTTGCAGATTATTTCAATTTGAAAAAGCTGATGTTTTAGGTGTAGAAATGTTCATTCAGCTGAGAAACAAGGAATTACTGACATTATTTATCCAATATGTTACAAGTTTTAAATATCTGTTATCAATAGTGCATTTAAGTACAGAGTAAACATGGAAAAAAGTGGTAGATTCTGAAGAATCTGGAAATAAGAGAAAAAACCACCAGTATCTTATAAATTAGTCCTTCAGCTCTCAAAGAAGAAGAAATAGCTCATATCTCCAAGTTTATTTTGTAAACCTCTGTCCATCACCAGGACTGACTAAAGGCTGTATTGGAATTTTCTATCAGAATGAAGCCTGAGTAAGGAAGTGACCAGTGCAGTCCTGCAGTATAGCAGAGATTCTTGCTATTCTCCTCTTATTTCAGTCTTCGGTTTTCTTACTATCTTGAATGTTGCAGTGCAAAATTGTTCAGCAGTTTGGCTGAGAATAAAAAAGAAACTTTATTGCATAATGAAGTTTCACATAAACTACAGTTTATTCTTGGTGTATTTTTTTCTAGAAGGCTGATTTTCCTTCATTTTTACAATATATACTCAAGCTTCAAATAAAGAATCTGCAGTACTGACAATGAGAAGATACTATAGATTATAATTATGACTGTTTTAAAGAGAATGTTCTTTGTGTTATATCATACAAAGCTCTAGCAAGCCTTTTGATCAATTCATCTAGTACTATCTTACCCAGTTTTGTGACGAAAATAATTTTCCTTTACTAGTTCATCCAAATTGTAGTGACATTTATCACTTCATTCTGTTCTTCTTTGTGCATTGCAGAGATAAAATAATGAAATAACTTCTGTCTGTCAAATACTCTTCTTCTATTCTCTGTTCTTAGAAGTCCCAGAAATGCCAGTGAGATTTACACCTTGTGATGGTGGAAAGCAAGATTTTTTAATTCATACTTCAGTATTTAGCAGAGTATTGCTTAGAGATCCTCAACTGCTTCCAGCTATGCTAACTGAAGGGAGTGAGACTTCAGGGTGAATTTGGTAAAAATTAAATAGATAATTACTGAAATGTTTTTAGAAATACTATTCTCATAAAAGTTGCATGAAAGTTGAAGCCCTATCACTGGAGTGCCTGATAAATGTGTCAATAAGCCATCTGTGCTCCCTTCCTAAAGTGAATGGCTCAGTGAGCCCAACTCTGACTTCTGAATAAAGCAGTCTCCCACTGTTGCCACAAAATCTCCCCTTTTACCGTTGCACCCTTCTCTGGTGAGTCCACTAACTCTTACCAGTAGCTCCATCCTCTCAAGCAGTGAAATGATCCCATTCAGTCCATCTTAATGTTTCCCTGGAGGCCTGAAGCTAAGCAAACACTAGCTTGCTTTTCCCCAGCAAGTATAAAGCCTTAATGCCAGATAAGTCACCCATCAGATACTTGTTCCATGTTCCTTTTCATTTAGTTTCCTGATACCTTGAAAAGATAGATAGCACTCATCTGAAACAGGCTGGTAGGTGGAAAGGTTGATATAGTTGCTACTGCCTTTTCATCTTTTGGAGTATTATAGTAGTGGATTATATTATATCAATCATACAGAGTTATGTACAATATATGGTGTTTTTTATGCTTTCAAGTAGAAAACACAGAAGGTCTGTTTTGTAAGCTCAGTGTACAGTCATATATGTGGTACCTCATGACAGTAGCTGTTAAGCAGTTTGAAGTTTTAATATTATTATTTTTATTTATAATAATAAATATATAATATATTTATTTATATTTTATTTATAATAATAAATATATAATATATTTATTTATTTTTATTTATAATAATATTATTTAATATTATAACCTATTACATAATAGCTTGGAAACATCTATTCTGGAAGCTATTGATTTTGTCTGAATTGCACAACTTAGTTTTTAAAATTTACATAGATTTCTACAGCTGCACTGATTAAATTTTCCATTTGCATGACAAAGTCAGGTACCTCATTAAATGCATTTTATAATATGCAAGCAGCAAACGGAAGCGTCTCTTTCTCTGTAGGGTTTTACTGTTAGATTCTTAAAGTCTTTGTACGTAAATGTGCATCCTTCTTAGAGGCAAATTATTATACTGTAAGTTGAACTCAATTAGAAGTCCATTAGATGCTCATATTCTTACAACACTATTTTAATGTGGGATAAATTCATCAGATTCGAGTGTCTTTAGCCAGTGGTAAAGTGGTTTTTTTCCCCAGTGAACATTTTAACATATAGGAGATATTCTGCTGGAAAACCTACTGCCTACCTTTCACAGCACACTTACTGTCCTTGGATAAACATGAAAGCCCACAAAAGATTATGTGATTTAGGAAGGTGGTTTCTGCTTACTAGACCCTTTCTCTAAGACATTCCAAACAACGAGCTTGTGCAAGCTCTGTGCAGGACTGTTGTCAGAGCTCTGCATTTTTCCCCTGCTCCCAAGAAGAGGTATCAAAATACCCTGGACACAATCAGATGCAGATCAGTGGGTTCGTTATTCTTGTTTCAGGACCAATGTGGCTAAAGCTGAGAGTATAGAGGAAGAGAAGGAAGTGGCAGGATGTGG